AACAGAAGTTGCCAGATCCTTCTATATAGTGAGAAGGTGGGGAGGGGTATTACTCAGAAGGGTGGTGGGAATCACCCTGTAACCGTTTTTGTGCTGAGCAAGGCCGTATCTGTTTGACTATCCTTTGGAGTAAATCCTGTGTTTTGAAGGGAGGCTATAGCTCAGGGGCACATGCAACCAGACCGTGCCCTCCACTGTCTCTGACCGCAGCAGGTTCTGCACCCCATCTCTTGCACTACTGCAATGCGCTCTACGTGGGGCTACCTTTGAAGGTGACCTGGAAATTGCAATTAATCCAGAATGCGGCAGCTAGACTGGTGACTGGGAGTGGCCGCTGAGACCATATACACAATGGTTCTAAGAGATCTGCATTGGCTCCCAGTACATTTCCGAACACAATTCAAAGTGTTGGTGCTGACCTTGAAAGCCCTAAACGGCCTCAGTCCAGTATACCTGAAGGAGCGTCTCCACCTCCATTGTTCAGCCCAGACACTAAGGTCCAGCTCGATGGCCTCTGGCAGTTCCTTCATTGTGAGAAAGTGAGGTTACAGGGACCAGACAGAGGGCCTTCTCGGTAGTGGTGCCCACCCTGTGGAACACCCTCCCATCAGATGTCAAGGAAATAAACAGCTATCTTATCTTTAAAAGACATCTGAAGGCAGCCCTCTTTAGGGAAGTTTTTAATGTTTAATGCTGGATTGTTTTTAACACTTGATTGGAAGCAATAATAATAATAATTATAATTATTATTATTATAATTATAATTATTATTATTATTATTATTATTATTATTATTATTATTATTGCTGCTGCTGCTGCTGCTTGCCACCCTCCAGCATCTGCTGCCCGAGGCAACCACCTCACTCTGTCTAACGGCAGGGACAGGCACGGAAGTGCAGGAGGGCCTGTGGTTCCAGGCCAGAGCTTCTCCTTTGTGTGCAGGAGACACACCCCCCCCCCCGGTTCAATCCCTGGCACATTTCCACCAAAAACAGCGCATGGCGTGAGCCACCCGTGAGCTGTAGAAGAGCCCCGGAATTATTTTGCCATGCACAAGAGGCTCCTTAGCAGACACGCAGGGTCTTGCCTGCAGGCAGGTCGATGGAAAGTAGCGTCTAGTCCTAAGATGGAGAGTCCGAAAGCCACTCTTCCCAGAATTTTGGCAGGGCCATCCGAGCGAGTTAATGCCATGGCGCGAAGATCACGAGATTATAATTATTTCTGCGCATGAAATATTAATCGGGAGCGGGAAGGAAAATCTCTGGTTCCACGGCAAACTCCAATTAAGAGTCAGAGTTCCTCGCTTGAGGAGATGCCACTGGAATAGCAATGGTGAGGAGCTGATAGGAACCAGGGGCCAGAGTGTCAAGGGTGACTTTCCCCCTTTCTTCCTTTTAATATTATTTTCATTCCTGCTGAATGTGAGTTTCGCTGAACCAAAAAGTGCATGGGCGGGGAATGTGGGTCCTCATTCCTAAAGGTCAGGAGCCTTTCCGTATGCAGCCGTGGCAGGTGTCTTGCCAATTGCAAGGTGGTTCTTTTAAAATGAGATTCAGAAGTAATGCAAAACACAAGTGGGCGAGAAGATTAAAGATGCTATTTTAAACAGCAAACAATATATACATACCAAGCATGCACTTCAATCTGCCACTTAGAAGGCCTTAAGAAGTGGTGAAGTGACTCCCCCAGGTAGCTTCAGTTTGCATGGCCCCACGGCCAGATCAGAGCTTCTCAGAAGTTTTGCACACAACCATCCGATTTATAGATAGCTAGATACGTGAAGATTATTCATTAGTCACCCCCTGCCAATGCCTCACTTTCTCAAAACAATGTCCAACATCTAAGAAGGTACCCATCACTATCTCTTCTTCCTAACTGATTAGGACATTATAGGCTGTTCTCATCCCATCAAAGAACTTCAGAGACAAGGAGAGGAAGGCAGGAAGAGGACAACCATGTCAGATCACTGACTCCTCAATATACAATTTTTCTTCCGCATAGATTGCCCATACAGCGGGTGGCGTGGCGTGTCCTTCTTCTCCTTCCATCAAAAGACTTTCCTGGCCAGACTAGAATGAGCAATGGAAGAGCAACCATGTTTGCCTCTGGCGAATGGTCCTTCCAGAAAATTCTGCATGCCTTGTACCATGTCCATCGGTCGTCTTACGTTTCCGGGTACACGTTTGCAGGTTTGGGGCTGGAGAGGACAGGACTTTGCCATCATAAGTCCATGGGGACAGCATTGACTCCTGGGCCTCGGAGCCTTCTGCTAGTATAGAAGAGGACAGATCAGTGTTTCATTGGCCCCTGTACACAGCAGGTCTTGGGCTCAGTCTGTGACATCTCCAGTCAAAAGGATCTCAGGCCTGGAAAATGTCATAGGGCAGGAGTAGCCAGCCTGGTTCAGACATGGCGCAGAACCCCATGAGCAAAAGGAACATGCACTGGCATTTGGGTTGGCTATCAAATGCATTCTTGGGTCTGCTGGAGATCTGTGTCCTGTTGCACTAACTCCAGGTAATTATATTAGGAATGGTAAAGGTAAAGGGACCCCTGACTCCAGTCGTGGCCAACTCTGGGGTTGCGGCGCTCATCTCGCTTTATTGGCCGAGGGAGCTGGCATACAGCTTCCGGGTCATGTGGCCACCATGACTAAGCTGCTTCTGGTGAACCAGAGCAGCGCACGGAAACGCTGTTTACCTTCCTGCCAGAGCGGTACCTATTTATCTACTTGCACTTTTTGGCGTGTTTTCGAACTGCCAGGTTGGCAGGAGCTAGGACCAAGCAACAGGAGCTCACCCCGTTGCAGGGATTCGAACCGCAGACCTTCTAATCGGCAAGCCCAAGAGGCTCAGTGGTTTGGACCACAGCGCCACCCGCATCCTTTTAAAGTGGTATACCCCTGACGGTCGCGGGGATTTGAACTGCCGATCTTCTGTTCGGCAAGCCCTAGGCTCTGTGGTTTAGACCACAGTGCCACCCACGTCCCATTAGGAATGGTGGTGCTCCTTTATTACTAGCCTTAGAATGGCTCCGTCTGGTGAAACTAAGCCCCTGGTGCTTTTCTGCCTTCAGTCTGGGTGAGTGGAAGTTCCTGCACTTGTTACCTGCATATTTGGCTGGAGGTAGACCAGAGATCTCCTGGTATACCTCTACTCAGAGATTAGCAGGAGATTAGCAAGGATCTCCCATCTCCCAAGATCCCATAAGCCTGACGTTTGCCCTGTCCTGCCATTGACCAACCTCACACTTACATCTCCATAGCCACAGATCCCATCCACACATCAGTTGATTCCAGTTCCTTGATGCTTACTGTTTCTTCCATTTCCCTTTTCCCATTTGGGGTGAGCACTCAACTAATGTGGAGCATTGGTAGCAGTTTTGATTCAGGATGAATCGTGGAGCCACTTGACCACTTGATCTACAAGTGTAGATCTTGCAGATGCTTCAAAATCTGCCCAGATTGCCGTGTGCCGAGTTCTGAAAAGACCCTCAAAATAAGGATGCTCTGATCTGAACACACTGTAATATTGTGTGCCCCAAACAAAGTCCACTGTGTCCCTCTTACTTTTGTGTATGTTCACTGGTGCTGTAAAAGAGTAAGAATATTTTCAGAACTTCTTGTTGCTGCTTGACTAACCATTCTCCAAGGACTAACTTGGCTTTAAGATTCTGAAAAGTTCTGGTTTAAGAAGGTCTTATTTCTTGCCATATCTGAAAAACCCACTCGTTCTTTATGAGTTTCCAGGGGTGACGCCAAACCTTCGGACTATGCAGCTACGTGGCATTGGTTCACAACTTATGTCAAAAGGCAACTTTATGGCTGACGTGTTCTTGCAAAGTATGATGATATCATGACTTGGTTGTAATCCAGAACTTATTACCGTCCACTCCACTGTGCTTCTGTGGAACCAAAATCTTATTATTCGTAACATTGCTTTTATCTCTCTGCCACAATCATTTCTCCACTCCACATCTCTTAAGTTGTGGACCATATGATGTGAAACCAGCAAGCCACTGTTTGTTTCTGTACCTCTCAGGTGTTTGCATTGTTATACCGTGTTTTTCGCTCCATAAGACGCACCTGACCATAAGACGCAACTAGTTTTTAGAGGAGGAGAACAAGAAAAAAAATATTCTGAACGAAACAGTGGATGTATGATTTTTGTGGTTCATACTGTGGCCACGGACATGTGATTTGACAGTGAGTTTAGGATGGCCCAATGCAAAAATCCTGAGAATCCATGTGGATCCGTGCTTTGTAACCACGTTTTTGCACCATTGCGGCCCCACGAAACAGTGGATGCATGGGGGGGGTTGCACAGGCTGTAGCCATGGACATACTATGTGATCTGATGGTGAATTTGGGGTGACCAAGTACAAAAATCCTGAGGATCCATGGACTTTTACCTTCCCCCTCCCAGGCAGCCTCCTTTATCTCTAGCGTCCCTTATCTCCCTTCCATTCGCTTATCGATCAGCTGCTTCCTTTCAACACTCCCTTCCCTCTTGTTTGCCTTTGTGTCTTTTCCTTAGCTGGAGCCGTTTTTTGCTCCTCCTTTTCTTCTAATTTCTCTCCTTATTGCTTTAGTCTTCCTGTCTCCTCTCCTTGCAAGTTCGCTGTCTTTACCTCCCACCTCTCAGGCAGCCTCCTTTATTGCTAGCGTCCCTTATCTCCCTCCCCAATTGCTTGCTGATTAGCGGCTTTGTTTCAACACCCACTTCCCACTTTTTTATTATTATTATTTTAAAAAAGCATGATCTTTCGCCCCTGGGCAATTCGGCTCCAGGGAACACTCCATAAGACACACAGACATTTCCTTTTACTTTTTAGGAAGAAAAAAGTGTGTCTTATGGAGCGAAAAATACGTTAGGTAATGATATATATATATATATATATATATATATATATTATATATATGCGCAAAAATGAAAAGGTACTTCTTGCATTGTTCCTGCTTCTGACGGCTGCCTTGTGTTCTGCCTCTCTCCGTGTCCCAGGGCATCATCTCTCCGGTGGAACACGGGGACCAAGGAGCGGATGCTCATCAAGGTGACGGACCGTGAGCCCAGCTTCCTCATGCACCAGGGCAACGGCTACACCTCCGACAACCAGCAGGGCACGCGGTCGCGCCGGCCCTCGGGCGGCCAGCCGTCTCCCAACCTCCAGACTTTTGCCCCCGACTCGGACAACTCTGTCTTCTTCCCGGAGAGGAAGCAGTCGCCCTTTCTGAAGCGGGCCGAGCACGTCGGCAGCTGCTCCCCGCTGCTGGGGCGCGGCGACTCCTTCTGCTCCCCGCTCCAGGCCCAGCACCGCAAGCACTCCAGCGAGTCGCAGCCGTCGTCTCCGCGCTATGCCTACGAGCCGCCCCTGTACGAGGAGCCACCCATGGAGTACCAGGCTCCCATATACGACGAGCCGCCTGTGGACATGCAGTTTGAGGCCAGCGGGAGCTACAAGGCCGGCTCGCCGCAGAAGTCCCCGATCCGCAAGCCGCACCCTTTCCTGCAGTCGCCCAAGCAGGGCTCCAACTCCCCCTACCAGCAGCTGGTCCTGACCAAGCAGAAGGCGCCCGACCGCTTCATGAGCCTGGAGTACAGCCCCGCCGGCAAGGAGTACGTCCGGCAGCTGGTCTACGTCGAGCAGTCGGGCTCCAGCCCCAAGATGAAGACCGGCTTGCGGCACAAATACTCGCCGAACCCCATCGGCGGCTCCTACTCTCTCCAGCACAGCCCTTGCCTGGTGAGGGACCAGCGGCTGGAGGTCAAGTCCGGCGACTACAGCAGCATGGAAGGGGCGGACTTCCGGCACAGCCCGCCCGTCTCGCAGGGGGACGACTCCATGTCGTGGTCCAGCCAGCACAACACCATGTCCTCCACCGGCTACTCGCCCGGCACGCGCAAGAGGAAAAGCCGGAAGCCGTCGCTCTCGTACGACCCCAACGCCTCCTCCACCGATGGCTCGGGCGAGCGGGAGGAAGGGCTGGCGGAGGAGAGGGCGCCCTCGGGCTGCAGCCGGCCCCAGATGAACCGCATGGAGAGCCGCTCGGTGGAGGCCGAGTCGACCCGGGGCTTCCCCGAACCCTTCCTGGCCCAGGCCCGGCTGGCGTGGGAGGCCCAGCAAGCCCACTACCACATGCGGCAGAGGAGCAGCTGGGACTCGCAGAAGGACGGCTCGGGCTACGAGAGCGACGGAGCGGTGCCCCTCCCCATGCCGGGGCCCGTGGTGCGGGCCTTCAGCGAGGACGAGGCACTGGCCCAGCAGGAGAACAAGCACTGGAAGCGCAACACCTTTGAGAAGCTCGGCTTCCCCCAGATCCTGCTGGAGAAAAGCGTGTCGGTGCAGACCAACCTGGCGTCGCCCGAGCCGTACCTGCATCCGTCCCAGGTAAGGTGCTTCAGGTCCCCCTTTCAGGAAGGGTCTGTTGTGGGAGCAAATCGTCCTTCTGATGACGAGGGAGAGTAGGAAACATTTAAGAAGGACCTCTTTGGGGATCGGATTAGGAATCAGTCTTTTACAGAGTCAGACTATTGTTCCATTAGCTTAGTATAGTCTGCACTGATTGGCAGTGGCTGCCTCCAGGGTTTCGGGTAGGGGACGTTCCTGGCTGTACCTGGAGATGCTGGCAAGGATTGAATTTGGGGTATGCTTTGTCCTTGTGCTCTAATCCTGATTTTGAAACTACTATATTTGGCATCCTTGAACTAACGCTATAGAAGCCTCCAGCCTGAGTTGTATTGGTATTGCTCGGTGTCCTTTGGGGGACGGGACATAGCTCAGTGATAGGGCCTCTGCTTTCCATGCAGAGGGTCCCGGGTTCAATTCCTGGTGTCTCCAGGGATGCGTGGAAGAGGACTATGCCTGAAACCCTGGAGAGCCACTGCGAATCGGTCTTGGCAATGCTGAGTTAGATGCATTGCAGGGGGTTGGACTAGATGTCCCTTGGGGACCCTTCCATCTCTATAATTCTGTGGTTCTTTTGTATCACCAGGCAGCTTCCTATGTCCTATGTCCAGCCCCTTTGGCTCCTGCCGCTTCTGAGCATCTTTCGTCATCTTTGACCCTCACTTGCCTACAGTTGCAGCTTAATCCATTTCCTGTGCTGGCCTATGTCAATTTATCTGTGATACCCATAAACCAAACTGTTTCTCCAGGCAATCGCATTCAGCCTCAGCCAGAGCAATGAGAGCTGAGGGCCTGATCCACCAGGCTGTTCTTACGTCCTTAGGTTCTTCGCGAAAAAACTGGAGACCTGCTTTCATTGATGCCTCTGGTTTACATTTCACGCGCTAGATAACCCTTGGGGTCCCGTCCAAACTCTACAATTCTAGAATTCTGAGATGTTTGCTCTATTAAACCACCAACCCAACCAGTGTCTCTGCTTCCCCTCTCCTTGAAGCCGCTTGGCCTTCCAGCAATCAAGAGATGATGCTGAGCTAAAGGCAAGGCTGGAGGAGCCAGCTGGTCTGTCCAGTCACCCCAGATGCTTTAAGACAGGTTGGAGATCTTCTGGGCACCCCAGATGTTGTTCAACAGCTGCACCCATCATTGCTGACCATGGGCAATCCCCCTACCTGGGGGGTGATGGGAGTTGGGGGTCCAGCAACAGGTGAGGTGCCACACAGTGCTCAGTCTGGCTTCACGGGCAGCTCTTAGGGTTGTTATAAAGCAAGTCAAAAGTCTACCAACTGATGGATTGACTTGGAGGTCCCAGGCCACAGGGAGGTTAGGCTGGCCTCAACCAGAGCCAGGGGCTTTTTCGGCTGTGGCCCCGATCTATTGGAACGCTCTGTCACAAGAGACTAGGGCCCTGCGGGACTTGACATCTTTCCGCAGGGGCCTGCAAGACGGAGCTGTTCCACCAGGCCTTTGGCCAAGGCACAGTCTGACCTCCTCCTTCGGTAATCCTCACAGAACTCTAGCCCAATGGTTGCCATTAATTTGATTCTGGTTTGATTTTAAAACGAATTGGTTTTAGAATGCTGTGTTACTTTTATTGCTGTTAGCTGCTCTGAGCCCGGCTTCGGCTGGGGAGGGCGGGATATAAATAAAATTTATTTTATTACTATTATTGAGCCCCATAGCAGATTCTCCAGTGAGCTTGGAGATGCACCATCTGCCCAAACCCCAGCCAGTGTTTATCTGACGTTGCACTCGTATAAGGCTTTCTTAGCTGACCTACAGTATAATAACAATTCAAATTAGGGAAGGACGGGCCTCTCAATGTTCTTTCCTCTACGAAGAACGCCGCTTTTGAATGCACGCTTCTCTCTTTCCTCCCCCCCCCTTGATTTTCTTTTATTTCATTCTATAATAAGAGAGAGCAGCTATGGCAACAGATAAAAATTAAAAGATGAGAAGCAAGACTGTGAGATAGGGCTGCAGGATGATTAACCAAGCCAAGTGCGGCGCTTAAGCGAAGCTTGCCAGGGTATCGAAATCTTAGGTTTTGAACCGCGTCCTGGGGTTTTTCACTTCTGATCTTGGAAGCGCTGAGCAGCTGACATTTACACACACACACACACGGAAAAAAATAGCTGGAAAGTATTTTGATTCTGGGAAATGAAAGGCTTTGTGTGAATAACATAGTGGGGAGAGGATTTCAAAGAAACTCGGATGAGTCATACTTTGAGCAGGCTGGTGCTCTGTGTTGCATCAAGGGGCCTGTTCTGATCTCCCTCTCTCCCTTTCTCTCTCTCCCTCTATTTCATAAAGGCACCCTGGAAGGGGCTTCCGAAACAAATTTCAATCTCTGTTTGTTCATTTGAATCTGCTCTTTCTAAAGGGAGAACATTCTCCCCTTCCTCTATACGCCAAGCAATCCAAACCCTTGGGGGAAAACGATTCTCTGCTTAGCAGTCGGGTGTTGCTGGGAGATTCAGCAGAGGGAAGCCGAGCTGCAGAAATAGAGGGCTTGAAGGCCCCCCCCCTTCAACCTGCCCCCCCCGGCCTGTTTAACATGGGCTGTCAAATGTCATCCCAAGCAGGGAAGCTTCCTTCCTTGGCTCAGACTTCAAGGGATAAAGGGGCAGGGTTCGAAGCTCAGTGTTTTGCATGCAGAGATGTCCCCACTTCTGTTCTTTCCACCTCCAGTTGAAGGGACCTGGGAGGAAGTCAGTCGGCAGATTCACTTTGGCTCAGGTCTCGGAAGAGCTGCTGCCGGTCCGAGCAGGCAGCATTGGGATAGGCGGACCAATTCTCTGATCTGGGGTAAGGCAGCTTCCCTTGTTCCTAGGGCTACTAAAGGAAGGGAGCTCCATAATAGTAATAATAATAATAATAATAATATTTTATTTATATCCTGCCCTCCCCAGTCGAAGCCGGGCTCAGAGCGGCTAACAGCAATAAAAGTAACACAGCGTTCTAAAATCAGTATTCTAAAGTCAATTCAAAATCAAATGGCAACCACTGGGCCAGAGTTCTACAAGGATCGCCAAAGGAGGTGGTCAGGCTGTGCCTTGGCCAAAGGCCTGGAGGAACAGCTCTGTCTTGCAGGCCCTGCGGAAAGATGTCAAGTCCCGCAGGGCCCTAGTCTCTTGGGGCAGAGCGTTCTGGCATGAGATCAACCCCATCTACCTGCATGCCAAGTCGCTGATCCAAGTCGATGGATGGATGGTACCTTCAAGAGAGCGTTCTTGGCTGATTAGGGGGCAGGGAGAAGGGAAGACAATTGTGATTTCTGCATTGCATGGGGGGTTGGGCTAGATGAGCTTTGGGGGTCCCTTCCAACTCTTAAGATTCTGTGAGAGTCATGGCAGATACAGTGAGCCAGAGTTGAGCAGCTGATGACCCCTCCATCTTGCTTTTTTCCTTGCCCAGGTTCCAAGGAACACATGCCATAAGACCCCCTGCCCTTTTTGGGACTCAAGGTGGCCTGGGGGACGTTCACCTCAGTGCCCCTCTGCTTCCTCCCCGGTCCACGGCTCTTGGGAAGGTCTCCAAAGCCCTTCCTCCCAGGGGGTCCATGCATGTGTTTCTTCATGTCTAGATTACTGCAGTGCGCTCTGCGTGGGGCTTCCCTTGCGCATCATCCGAGAGCTGCAGCGCAAGGGCTGACAGGAGTGAGGCCTTGGGCACAGAACAGAGATCTGCCCTGGTTGCCAACTACCGATGGGGCCAAGTCCAAGGTGTTACTATTAGCATTCAAAGCCCTTAACAACTTGAGACCAGTTTACCTGCAAGATCGATTGACAGAACTGGCACCCATTCCACGTTTGTAAGAATTCGATATTTTAGTGCGGCAGCACCTGTCCTTTGGAACTCCCTGCCGATTGATACCAGGCAAGCACCTTCCCTGTACAGCAGTACCTTGGATCTCAAACACCTTGGCTCCCGAACGATCAAAACCTGGAAGCAAGTGTTCTGGTTTTCAAACGTTTTTTGGAAGCTGAATGTCCGGTGGGGCTTCCGCGGCTTCTGATTTCTGAATGTTTCGGAAGTCGAACGGACCTCCGGAATGGATTCCATTCGACTTCCAAGGTATGACTGCACTCTTTTCAGTGCCTGCTAAAAACAGCCTCACGTGGACGGGCTTACTTAGAAAGCTGACATGACTTATTTTTCTTGGTTCTTGGTCTGTTGCTATTTTAACTTTCCATATGTCTTAAATCTATTTTTCTTAGCGATGATTTCATTGCACTGTCTTCTCTTTTTTTGTAAATCGCTTTGAGGTTTCTTGACAGTCGAGCAGAGTATAAATTTGATCAAGTTAAGGGGTGTTGGTTTTCCCCTCTGTTCCCTGCGCCCCTCTTCCTTCTCCTCGCTCTCCCTGGAGTTTGGGCTTCTCAGCTCACAACCCATCGGTCTGCTTTTTTGCACAGCTATTTATGGCGCTCCAGGCCGATCCCGGCGCACGTTTAGATGTGTGTGATTTATTATAAGCCGATCCCTGGTCTTTTTGCTCCCTCGCTTGGAGTCCAAGGCTGTTCTCAGCTTTAGGGATGGGCATGTCTGCGTGTCTTTGCTCCCAAGTCCTCCTGGTGTTTGGAAACGATTTGCTACGCCCCAGATTCTTTGGGGCCTAAGTGGGAGCTTAGATGGCGACTTTAAAAGCCTTCAGATCTGGGTAATTAAAAATATCCCTGGCAAGGATTTGATTGCAATGATAATATAACAATATGCACATGTGTTTTAGTGGCGCAGCCAGTGACCTAGCGACAGATTCTTGTCTCCTACAGAGGAGCTCACCTTTAGATCCCTGTGATCTAGGGAAAGGGAGAGTTTATTTAGGCCCTTGGAACTACAAGCTACCTACAGCAGCCTTTGTCTACCCGGTGCCCTCCAGATGTTTTGGGTGACGACGCACGGTGGCCCGAAACATCTGGAGGTTTTGCCAGGTTGGCAGAAGCGAAGTCTGGCCTAAACAAATTAAGAGAGGAGCTGAGCCGCTGCAAAACGCCACGGTTTGCTCTGCCACCTGTGAGCCGTTGCAATGAACATCTCCATGACAGCTACCATTGTTCAGAAAGCGTCATTGGAGAAATGAGCATCTTGTTTGCTGAGGTTATATTTTCTTTTCAGAATTGCAATGGGTGGGGGGAGTGTTTAACTCTCTCCATCCTGGCTGAGAAACGAGTGTTAGTGGAGCAGAATGGCAAGGAAGTCCTATAGAAGGTATTTAGACTTTCCTCAGGGGTGTCGTACACACGTAGCGGCAGGCAGAAAGATTCAGCCTCCGTTTCCCTGGGATCTTAGGCAGGCATCTGTCCCCAACCTGTTACTCAGCCAGGGATTTTCTAGGTGCAAATAAGAGATATGTCCCCCAAGTTCTGACTCTTTCCCCCCAAGTGCTATCAATTAACAAACTCTAACTATGGGTCTGGACCACGAAATGTGGTTAATAAGTAGAGGCGGAGATGATTCCAATGTTGGCCAAATTTGTGGGAAAGTGACGTCATTGATGGGACAGTTCTGCAAAAGAGCCCCTAGATCAGCCTTTCTCAACCTGTGGGTCCCCAGATGATGTTGAACTACAACTCCCATCACCCCTAGCTAGCAAGGCCAGAGCTCAGGGATGATGGGAGTTGTAGTCCAACAACATCTGGGGAGCCACAGGTTGAGAACCGCTGCCCTAGATGCTGTTTGTAACTGGCCAAGAGGGGTGGGAAGTTGGGAGGCTTTCAGCTCCGGGGCAACTAAAACAATAACATTATAGCATATGTATCCATGTTTGTTAACTGATGTGGTTAAACATTAAAAAAACAAAAAACAAAACTTGGACTGTGTTTTGGCACACATGAAAAACTTAAAGCAAATCCTTATTTCCTAATGAATAACCTTTGGTCTATAATGTAACTTAAAATAGAAAACTACCTTTAGAAAGATATTTTCCTCCAAAAGCATTTTATTTTAAAAACCCAATTTAAAAAATCTGATTTCAATAAATAACCCGATTAAAATAAATAAATAAATGGTTTTTATCCACCCTGGACTATAGAAGCGGGTGGTCCTGCCTGCCTCGTCACTCTTGCCTTGTCTCTCTGTCCCCCTTCCAGTCGGAGGACCTGGGCGCCTGCGCGCAGTTTGAGAGCAGCCGCCAGAACCGGAACATGATGCCTAGCACCAGCTGTGTCTTCCCCACCTTCAACCTGCGAAAGCCTTCCTCGGAGACGGACATCGAGAACTGGGCCTCCAAGCACTTCAACAAGCACACGCAGGGCCTCTTCCGCCGCAAGGTCTCCATCGCCAACATGCTGGCCTGGAGCAGCGAGTCCATCAAGAAGCCCATGATCATGACCACCGACCGCAACGTCAAGAAGGAAGCCTGCGAAATCTTCAAGCTCATCCAGATGTACATGGGCGACCGGAGGGCCAAGGCGGACCAGCTCAACGTGGCCCTGGAGATCGCCACCAAGGGCTGGAGCATGCAGGGCCTCCGGGACGAACTCTACATCCAGCTGTGCCGCCAGACCACCGAGAACTTCCGCTATGAGAGCCTGGCCCGGGGCTGGGAGCTCATGTCCATCTGCCTGGCTTTCTTCCCTCCCACGCCCAAGTTCCACTCCTACCTGGAAGGGTACATCTACAGGCACATGGATCCGGTGAACGACACGAAAGGTAAGGCAGCGAGGAAGGGGAAGGGCACAGCTGGTCAGCTCAAGGTGTTAGGAAACGTTGGCTGCCCTTTTCCGAGGCTCAGCAAAATCCAGCGTGAGATCCGGCACGAAACGAGTTTGGTGGCTCTTGAGCTAGACACGGGGAACACACAAAGCATGAGGGTTTCTTTCTTTCTTTCTTTCTTTCTTTCTTTCTTTCTTTCTTTTCAGCTTTAATAATAATAATAATAATAATAATAATAATAATAATAATAATAATAATTTTTATTTATATCCCGCCCTCCTCAGCCGAAGCCGGGCTCAGGGCGGCTAACAACAATCAAATAATCAAACAGTCAAATAATCACACATTCTAAAAATATTTCATTATAAAAATTAATTAAAATCAAATTGATGGCAACCGATTAGGCAAAATTCTGTGCAGGTTGCCAGAGGAGGGAGTCAGGCTGCACCCTGGCCAAAGGCCTGGTGGAACAACTCTGTCTTGCAGGCCCTGCGGAAAGATGTCAGGTCCCGCAGGGCCCTAGTCTCTTGTGACAGAGCATTCCACCAGAATGGAGCCGCAGCCGAGAAGGCCCTGGCTCTAGTTGAGGCCAGCCTAACCTCTCTGAGGCCTGAAACCTTGAGGATGTTATTATTTGCAGACCGTAGGTTTCTCTGTGGGGCATACCAGGAGAGGCGGTCCCGTAGGTACGAAGGTCCTAGGCCGTATAGGGCTTTGAAGGTTAAAACCAGCACCTTAAACCTGATCCTGTACTCCACCGGGAGCCAGTGCAGCTGGTATAGTACCGGATGAATGTGGTCTCGCAGCGAAGACCCCATAAGGAGTCTCGCCGCGGCATTCTGCACCCGCTGGAGTTTCTGGGTCAGTCTCAAGGGCAGCCCCAAGTAGAGCGAGTTACAATAATCCAGTCTGGAGGTGACCGTCGCATGGATCACAGTGGCTAGTTCAGGGCGAGATAATAATAATAATAATAATAATAATAATAATAATAATAATTATTATTATTATTATTATTATTATTATTATTATTATTATTTATACCCCACCCATCTGGCTGAGTTTCCCCAGCCACTCTGGGCTTCCCCCCGATAATATTGACCAAGTAAAATAACCCGAAAGGGTAAGGGCTGGAATAGTTGCTTCGTTTCTGTAAAACAGCCACCTTCTGTAAAGCACGGTTAATGACAAAAAATGGGCCGAGCAGCACAACTGCAAGAAAAGTCACATTATGAAATTTCACAAAGCGACACAGCACTCATAATCCGCCAAACAATGTTTTGCAACAAAAAGCAAGCAGAGCACTGTTGAATTTTGATGGCGCCCTTGCACTGGGGGGTGTTTCCAGATGGGTTTTGTCCTGGTAGATTTAAGGCATGGGTAGGCAAACTAAGGTCCGTGGGCCAGATCTGGCCCAATCGCCTTCTAAATCCGGCCCGCGGACAGTCTGGGAATCAGCATGTTTTTACATGAGTAGAAGGTGTGTTTCTATTTAAAATGCATTTCTGGGTTATTTGTGGGGCATGGGAATTTGTTAATCCCCCCCCCAAATATATAGTCCGGCCCCCCACAAGGTCTGGGGGACAGTGGACCAGCTCCCTGCTGAAAAGGTTTGCTGACCCCTGGTTTAAGGTCTGAAGAAATGACCTCACTGCCCCTGAGTGGGCATTTGGGAGCCCCTGAGTCAAAAGCGAAGACCATGGGGGGGGGCTCTCTCCCCCCCGGACCACCTTCCCTCGGAAACGTCAGCTGCTGCCTCTTTTGCAAAGTTGCGTTTCACCCTCATCCTGCTAAACTGCGTCATTTCCCTACAAATGTCAGCTGCAATATGGCAGTCCTTGAATCATCAGTGATCTCCCCCCCCCCCTTTTGCAATAGGCCTCTGCAGTTAAAGCTGCTAATTGGCTATCCTAGGCTCTCTTAACACACAGCTGTTATTCTAAATCATTAAGCAGCAAACCGCATCCCGGCTCCCCACCGAAGGCCCTCCCTCAGCTAATGTTCTCCGCCTGATGAGCAGCAGGAGGGAAATGATTTCATTAATGAGATGTAGAAATGCATTGCTCTCTTGCCTTTTGCCCTTGGAGACAGTCTCCTTCGGACCGAACAGGATGCACAGCCTCCACACGGCCCCTTTCTGCAGTTCACCGTGCAGGAAGCAAGTCCTGCTCGAAACTGGCTTTCTTTACGCTTCTGCCTTCAGCTCCACTTGAGGACGGCAAGTCCCTAGTCCTCAGCGTCTTGCAGAAGGCGGGCTTTGTAAAAAACGCAGGAAGAAACGGCAGTGGAGAAAGTGGGATAGCTCAGTCCTGGAACTCCCTGCTTTGCATTCAGGAAATGCAAATATTGGCCTGGCCAGTTGGAAGGAATATTGGACAGAATTACAAGGCTGGTAGATGAAGGGAACGCAGTGGATGTAGCCTACCTTGATTTCAGCAAGGCATTTGACAAGGTGCCCCATGATATTCTTGTAAAGAAGCTGGTAAAATGCGGTCTTGACTATGCTACCACTCAGTGGATTTGTAACTGGCTGACTGACCGAACCCAAAGGGTGCTCATCAATGGTTCCTCTTCATCCTGGAGAAGAGTGACTAGTGGGGTGCCACAGGGTTCTGTCTCGGGCCCGGTCTTCTTCAACATCTTTATCAACGACTTGGATGATGGACTCAAGGGCATCCTGATCAAATTTGCAGACGACACCAAACTGGGAGGGGTGGCTAACACCCCAGAGGACAGGATCACACTTCAAAACGACCTTGACAGATTAGAGAACTGGGCCAAAACAAACAAGATGAACTTTAACAGGGAGAAATGTAAAGTATTGCACTTGGGCAAAAAAAATGAGAGGCACAAATACAAGATGGGGGACACCTGGCTTGAGAGCAGTACATGTGAAAAGGATCTAGGAGTCTTGGTTGACCACAAACTTGACATGAGCCAACAGTGTGACGCGGCAGCTAAAAAAGCCAATGCAATTCTGGGCTGCATCAATAGGAGTATAGCATCTAGATCAAGGGAAGTAATAGTGCCACTGTATTCTGCTCTGGTCAGACCTCACCTGGAGTACTGTGTCCAGTTCTGGGCACCACAATTCAAGAAGGACACTGACAAACTGGAACGTGTCCAGAGGAGGGCAACCAAAATGGTCAAAGGACTGGAAACGATGCCTTATGAGGAATGGCTAAGGGAGCTGGGCATGTTTAGCCTGGAGAAGAGGAGGTTAAGGGGTGATATGATAGCCATGTTCAAATATATAAAAGGATGTCACATAGAGGAGGGAGAAAGGTTGTTTTCTGCTGCTCCAGAGAAGCGGACACGGAGCAATGGATCCAAACTACAAGAAAGAAGATTCCACCTAAACATTAGGAAGAACTTCCTGACAGTAAGAGCTGTTTGACAGTGGAATTTGCTGCCAAGGAGTGTGGTGGAGTCTCCTTCTTTGGAGGTCTTTAAGCAGAGGCTTGACAACCATATGTCAGGAGTGCTCTGATGGTGTTTCCTGCTTGGCAGGGGGTTGGACTCGATGGCCCTTGTGGTCTATTCCAACTCTATGATTCTATGGTTTGCAAGGCTAGTCTGTGAAGCAACAGGAGAGCTGCTATCAGTCTGGACTGTTTGCAAAAAGGCCTTTGAGCTAAAAGCAGCGTGGCAATTCAGAAGCTATAGCAGCTGACAGGGATTCTTCAGCTGAGATTCCTGCATTGCAGGGGGTTGGACTAGATGACCCTCGGGGTCCCTTCCAACTCTACAATTCCACGATTCTTTGAATGGTTGGCTGGGAAAGGGCAGCCCAAATCATCAAGTTTTTGGAGCAGCTCCCCATTTGAGGAGACATCTAAAACATTTGGGGCTTTAAAGTTTAGAATGATTGCTCCCAAATAGCCTTGCCACACCCCACACCCCCGCCAGACAACTTATAAATCGCTGAGGGTCTTAATGACCACTTAATAATTTTTCTGCCGGTTGTAGCAACCCTGAAGCAGCCTTCAGATGTCTTCTAAATGTCAGGTACAGTGGATGCTTGGGTTGCGAACGTGATCCGTGCGGGATGCACGTTCGCAACCCGCAGCGTTCGCAACCCACAGAGGCGTCTGCACACACGCGGGTTGCGATTTGGTGCTTCTGCGCAAAGCGTGATTTAGCACTTCTGCACATGTGCAACCGCCGAAACCCGGAAGTAACCTGTTCCGGTACTTCTGGGTTTTGGTGGTCCGTAACCCGAAATAATGCAACCTGAAGCTTCTGTAACCTGAGGTATGATTGTAGTTGTTTATTTCCTTGACATCTGATGGGAGGGCGTTCCACAGGGCAGGCGCCACTACCAAGAAGGCCCTCTGCCTAGTTCCCTTAGCTTTACTTCTCGCAGGGAGGGAACCACCGGGAGGCCCTCGGAGCTGGACCTCAGTGTCTGGGCTGAACAATGGAGATGGGAGACGCTCCTTCAGATATACTGGACCGAGGCCATTTAGGGCTTTCAAGGTCAGCACCAACACTTTGAATTGTGCTCGGAAATGTACTGGGAGCCGATGTAGGTCTTTCAAGACTAGTGTTGTGTGGTCTCGGCGGCCGCTCCCAGTCCCCAGTCTAGCTGCTGCATTCTGGATTAATTGTAGTTTCTGAGTCACCTTCAAAGGTAGCCCCACGTAGAGCGCATTGCAGTAGCCCAAGCGAGAGATAACCAGAGCATGCACCACTCTGGCCAAACAGGGCACAGGTGGGTAGGGTCTCATCCTGCCTTGCTGTCTTTTAAAATTTGACATGGAAACGGAAGAGCAGTAATTAGGCGTGATAATTGAATAGAACCTCCAGCTTCAGGGGCATTATACCTTGAGCTGCCAGCTTCTGGAGAACAAACAACAAGGGAAGGCCATTGTCTCCTTGCCTCGCTTATGGGACACCCAGAGGCATCTGTCTGGCCCCTCTGGGAAATGAGGTGTCGGGCTTGCATTTCTGACATTGCTGAAGAGCCAGCGATTCCCACCAGCAAAATCCTGTTTCTCCTGGCTGGTCTTGACTGGTTGGGAGGAGCACAGATCCACAATGCAGCTGTTCACCCTCTGCTTAGGATGCCAATCCATGCCAACCAGCCAAGGCTGAGCCTCCTATAGCCTGCAATGTTGTTGGAAAAATGTTCTGCAATTCTGGCTGAGCGTGCTTGATTTCACCTGCAAAGGTGGCGGCAAACCCATTGCAGCAGGCAGGGCTTATTGTGGGATATCAGTAACTATCGGGCACGTTGAGTAGATTGGCCTAAGGAGCACTACTCCATTCTTTCTTTCCTTCCGCCCACACACGACCCGGATTTCAAAGCCGGTTGCCGTGCTGATAATTACCATTGAGAATTTGCTACGCATGCAACGCCCCCCCCTCTGGTTTGCAAATTAGCCTGGAGCAGGAAGAGTGCTGATTGGTCGAGCGGCCGCGATGCCGCCAGCACACAGTCGTGTCATCCTCATGCAATGAGGGGTAACAGTGGGATTCTCTGTCTTTTCCTCTCTCTCTCAAGTATGAATCTGGGGGCAGAGAGTGAATAATGGGGAAAGGGCTCTTTGCTCGCTTTATCCAGGGGTGTGGAACGGAACACTAATAATAATAATAATAATAATAATAATAATAATAATAATAATAATAATAATTTATTTATACCCCGCCCATCTGGCTGGGTTTCCCCAGCCACTCTGGGTGGCTTCCAACAGAACACTAAAATACAATAACCTATTAAACATTAAAAACTTCCCTAAACAGGGCTGCCTTCAGATGTCTTCTAAAAGTCTGGTAGTTGTTGTTTTCTTTGACATCTGGTGGGAGGGCGTTCTAAAGGGCGGGCGCCACTACCGAGAAGGTCCTCTGCCTGGTTCCCTGTAGTTTTGCTTCTCGCAGGGAGGGAACCGCCAGAAGGCCCTCGGCACCAGACCTCAGTGTCCGGGCAGAACGATGGGGGTGGAGACGCTCCTTCAGGTATACTGGACTGAGGCCGTTTAGGGCTTTAAAGGTCAGCACCAACACTTTGAATTGTGCTCGGAAACGTACTGGGAGCCAACAGGCACACACAAACACACCCACGCACCGGGTCTGAGCCACACTGTGAGCACATCAAACTCGTTTCTTGCACATGGTTGTGATCCATTGCTGGATTTTTCTCTCTGGAAGCCTCACAGTTCAGGAGTGCCGGTAGTGATCAGCACCACTCTTTGCCGTTCCAGCCACTGGGGAGGAGCTGGCCCCATCTGCACCTGACGTATGCCAGTCGAGTCCTCGATTCATTTGTATCTGTGCTCCACCCTGTGCCATTTTATGTTAGCAGCAGCCATGCTTTCCCTGCCGCTGGAGTTGTGTCACTTGGAAGAGCTCCTGCACAGTGCCAGCCCAAGGATTCATTCATTCATTCCGTCCCCTTCCACCCCTGAGTAGGATGGATCTGGCCCTGGAGAGAATAGGGGTTCAGGGCTAGCGGTGCCCATCCTTAGTTGAGATTCTTGCATCTGATGGGGGTTGGAGTGGATGACCCTTGAGGTTCCCTTCCACCTCTATGATTCTTGGATTCCCCTTTTATCTCTACCATCACGGAGTATTATTTACCTTCAGCGCAATCCTAGATGTCGCCAGGACAGTTATAAAGAGGTTAGGGAGTTCTGTTGAAATCCCAGTGGCTGTTGAGTGTGTGGGCATGTTTAACTCGCCCGGGCAACCTTCCCGAACCTTCTGCCTTCAGGTGTTCGGGGCTACGATTACATAGGGCTGGTGGGAGGTTGTAGCCCCAGACATCTGGAGAGTCCTAGGATAGGGGAGGCTGTACTAAAGGTATTTCTGGAAGGGTAGAAACTCTCCTCCACTTGGCCAGCGTAGTAAAAAATAGAATAAAATGGTTTGCAGTTCTCTTATGGAGATTCCTTTCGATGTGCTGGCAACCCCAAAGTGTTGCTGTGCTCGTTTATTTAAGGAACTGTATTATTGCCCCTTTCAGTTTTAACAGAAATGCCCCAGGAAGCTTGAATTTATAAGCTGCTCTGACCGTCGGCTCGAAGGATAGGGTAGAATAAAAAGAAAACAAGTTGACAGATATAGTGGTACCTCTGGTTGCAAACGGGATCCGTTCCGGAGGCCTGTTTGCAACCTGAAAAGAACGCAACCTGTGTCTGCGCACGCGCGGGTCGCGATTCGCCGCTTCTGCGCATGCGCGTGACGTCATTTTGCTTGTCTGCGCATGTGTGAGCGGCGAAACCCGGAAGTAACGCATTCTGTTACTGCTGGGTCGCCACAGGACGCAACCTGAAAACGCGCAACCTGAAGCAAACGTAACATGAGGTATGACTGTAATATTAAAATGGCAGTCACGGGTAGCCAGAGATGATCGACCTACAGAGAGGTTGAAATCCTGCTGGGATAAAAAATGTAAATTAAATAAAGGTGACATTTCATCAGGAAGGAGGTGAGACAGATCACCTGGGGTGGGGTGGGCCGCTGGCCTGATCCAGAAGGCTCTTCTTACATTCCTGCATGTATCTCGCTTCCACCTGAGTGCTTGGAAAAGCATCCTTTCCCCGCCCCTGATCCCTGGCTCAGCATTTTGCCTGAACCGAGGGGGGTGGTTTGTTTTGCTCCAAGCCAACCTGCAGCCAAGATTTGTCCTCGGCTTACAGATCGTGGCTTCTCTGAGCAAGACGCACCAAGCTCCTTGTTTTGTTTGCAACGTATCCTGGCCCCAAACCGTTATTCACCTTCCTGGTTCTCCGTTGCTCTCGCTTGCAGTCATTACGGAGTCAGGTATCAATTACTGCGTTAATTGTGACACCATCCTCGTTTCACTATGTGACCCTCGATTGGATGGGCTCATCCATGGGAATAATCCAGAAGCGAGTGGACAGAATGGCGCTAAATAGGTTTGGGAGATTGCAAATTGGGTTATTAGGTTGCTTTTATTTTGATTATATATTTTGTGGTTTCAATCTTTTATTTTGTTCTGTGAACCGCCCTGAGACCTCTGGGTATAGGGTGGTATATTATTCAATATAATAATAATAATAATAATAATAATAATAATAATAATAATAATAATATAATTGCAAGATTTAAACATAGGAGTTTAGGGGCGTGAGGCTCCTGCCCCACCAAAACCACTAGTTTCTACTCCGCCAAATTTAAACTCTCAAGACCTTCGGCAGGTCCTTAATGCAGACCCTCTGTGCCTGTGGAGACGATTGGCTGCAATCGCAGCGGATTGGACTACACGGCCTTTGGGTTACCCTCCATCCCAGCAATTCTTCAACGCCACTGGTGCATTCTAGCTCCTCTCCGGTGACACCCAGGTAAGGTGCAGGGGGGAAAGACCTGCCTGAGCCGGCCGGCATTGAAAGCAGAGCTGTCTTGCTCATTTTTTATTTTATTTTTATTTCCTTTATTTTGCTCTTCCTGTGTTTGAAATCCGTACCCCTACCCCCCCAAAAAAACCCCACCCCAATCCCTCTCTTTCTCTCTCTCTCTTTGTGTTCCATTCCGTGGTCCTCATCGTTCTGTTTGTTCCCCAGTGACTCTGCACATTAAGGAACTCCTGGAAAGGAACAATAAGAAGTCGTCCAAATTGAGAAAGAAACCCAAGCCCTATATGGAGGAACGCCATGGTAGGGTGCGTGTGCTCCTGGAGCACCTCCATCTCTCCTTTAGACCTAGACGCCAACTCCACCGCCTTCTCTCTCCTGCAGCTTCCTCGCCTCCACTCGGCTCCCCCCTTATAACATCGCCTTCACGCTTCTCCCCTCTGACACCCTTTCTAACTGCTGACGTTTCTGGGTGCCTCTCTCTCTTTCTCTCTTAGCAGCTCCGCGGGAAGAGCTTGGGGTCAACCGCTGCCCGTCGCGCTTCTTTTCCCAGCAGGTGCCGATTTCGGTTCGACCTCCTGAGTCGGGCGGCCGCCGCTCGAGGCTCGGCGCTTGGGGTGGGCGCAGCGGCTCCGCATCACGCCGGCGCAGAGGGGACCCCGAAAAGGGGTCACCCGCTGGCTCTGTAGCTCATCTCCGGCCGGTCACCCAGGCAGGGCTTGTTTGCATGTCACACGGTGGCGTTGCACTCGGATACCGCGCCGTATCGGACCACAAAACCCAGGTGGCTGTTGCGCACATGTTCTGCGGGTTCTGTGGACTTGAATGGTTGCAGCTGCGAGAAATATTATTATCCCGGATGATGATGATGATGATGATGATAATGATAATAATAATAATAATAATAATAATAATAATAATAATAATAATGACAATTATCTTAGCCTGTAATTCCTGAATTGCAGGGAGTTAGACTTGATGACCCCTTTTTTTGCTGGGCTGGGGGGGGGGTTCCTCCAACTCTACAGTTTTACTGTGGTACTGTGGGATCCGTTCCGGAGGCCCATCCGTAATGTGAAAAGCCCTCAACTCGAAGCGCCGCGTCTGCAAAGGGACGTGGCACGATTTGGCGCTTCTGTGCATGCCATAGCTGCCGACGTTTCCCCCTTTTTAAGGGAAATTCCCTTATTCCGAATAGGATTCCTCGCAAGAAAAGGGGAAAGTTGACAGCTATGATACATGCGCGAGTGGCAAAACCTGGAAGTAACCCATTCCGGTACTTCCGGGTTGCTGAGGGACGCAAGACGAAAACACGCAACCTGAATCAGACGTACCATGAGGTATGACTGTATGATTCTGTGACCTTTGTTGCCCAAAGCGCCTTGTGTGTTTTGGCCCAGCAATCCTTACAACGTCCCTGTAAGGTAGTGCAGCAGCGACATCCATCCATTGTGGACAGGAGCAGAGACAGTGCATGTTAAAGTTGGCTGATGGATCCATGGCAGAGGTGAGGTTTTTAGGAGAGAACATCTACCTTCCTGCTTGGTGATGGAGCTAATTCTGCACGCAGAATTTCCCTAGGTTCATTCTGGCTTACCGAAAGATCCGGCAAATTCAAAAGCAGCCGATGATGTCGGAATCCACCCCTCTGCTACTCCTGGATAGCTCAGTTGGTGAGAACATGGTGCTGATAACACCAAGGTTGCAGGTTCAGTCCCCTTATGGGGCAGCTGCATAGTTCTGCATCGCAGGGGGGTTGAGATAGATGATCCTTCAGGGTCCCTTCCAACTCTACTGTCCTGTGATTCAGCCGCTGAATGTGGAAGGTGATGTTCTCTGCTTCTCACGGCTAGCAGTCCTGCTCATCCGTCGGTTGGTTGGTGTGTGTTTCTCTTGAACTTTCTCAGGTGGGATCCATCTGAGCATCCTGTGGAGGTGAGTTCCACAGGTAGATAACGTGGTAAAGGGCCGTAGCTGAGCAGCGGTGGGAGGGTGGGGGCATAGCTCAGTGTTAGAGCATCTGCTTTGCATGTGGAAGGTCCAACTCAGTTTTAGAAACTGTACCTTTTAGGTACAGAAACTTTTTTGTACCTTCTAGGTACCTTTTAGGTACAGAGACTTTTTAGAAACTGTACCTTTGAGTCCTCAATCCTTTATTACTGCGCTTTGCCTCACCTAGGTCGAGCTAGGATTATAATACTTCAGAATTTTGGGGAGTTTCTTTCAATTTGGTCATTTAAGGTTTATGATTTCTCTTATTTCCTTCTGAGGAAACTGAATAGTTCAGTGAAACGAGGTTTGTAGCCGGCATCCTGTTAAGGTTTTGTTCAATTCTAGGTTTTTCTAATTTTCCCCTTAAACTTTTTGATTAGTATTTCTAGTCGATTACTTCTCTTTTCAGGGATTTTCACGGCATTTCATTTGTTTTGTGTAATGTCTCGGTTCCATGACGGTCTTTTTTCTATTGCACACCATGGTAAGAGCTGTTTGGCGGTGGAACGGGCTCCCTTGGAGGTTTTTAGGCAGAGGTTGGCTGGCCACTTGCCAGAGATGCTTTATCTGTGATTCCTGCACTTCAGGGGGTTGGACTAGATGACCCCACGGGGTCCCTTCCAACTCTGCAGTTGCCGTAGAGAACACCAGGATTCAGCAACCTTAGCCGGCGAATTCCAGCCACGTCGCCTTGCCTCTAATCTCGCTTCCCTCCCCCTGCACCTGTTTGAACAAGCCTTCCTAATTTATTTAAAGCGCGCGCATTAACCGAAGGAGATTGTGCTGTAATTAACTGGAGCTGGTTAACGGGGAGGCCTGGATCTTCCTTGCAGGTGTGCATAACCTCATTTATAGAGCCGAGTCGGTGTTTAAAAATATCCGTGTGCTGAATGTCGTGCAGTCGTGGACCGAAGGCTACCACGGGGATTCTTCTGTTTTTATTTTCTAAAAATGACATCTCTTTGCAGCCCTAGTAAGGAACATTTCCGAGGGTGTTTTCTCGGCTTTGCTTTTTGCCTCTTAATCCCTAGCGTTCAGAACCAAGGCTGGATGGCGGTGCAAAGAGGAGTGGCAGTCGCTTCGCATTTTGCCAAAGCGAATGGTCTGCGAAGAGTTACAGCTGAAGGGGGCTTGTCCTAAGACCCCTTTATAGGGCCGGGGTACCAATCCTAAAATCATTCCATAGGAACACGGGGAGCTGCCTTGTCCTGGATGCTTTAGCTGAGATTTCTGCATTCCCGGGGGTTGGTCTCGATGCTCCTTGGGGGTCCCATCTAGGTCAGCGTTGCCCACCCGCTGTGGGAACCACTGAACTAGATGGATCTTCGGCCTGATCCAGCAGAACTTTTCTGACGTCTAGCCCTAGAGGGTGCACAGGGGTCTTGGAGTCCTCTGAAAGCGTTCCAGGGATCAGAGATTCTTAGAAGACTGGAGTAAATATATGAACTATTTGAAAAGTAATTCTGATGAATGGATTACGCTGGTAGGACTGCAAGAAGTTTTGTAAGGTGGATTATTTGAAATAGTGCAAGAAAGACTATGAAAAGAATTGTTAGTTAAGGATAGTTAAATGTAATATAGAAATTAAGAAATGCAGGATAAGTGATAAGGAATGGAAAATCATCAGAGGTGTGGACGGAAGTCAAAAATATTGTATAAGATGATAAGATATGTTGTATGATTGTTGGAACTGATATGTTAAAAAATGAATAAAAATGTGTGTGTGTTTGTGTGTGTGTGTGTGTGTGTGTGTGTATGAGAGAAAGCGTTCCAAAGCAATGCTGACAGCAGGATTCTCATTCCTCTGTTTTCCCCTCTCTTCCGCTCCGATGTCATAACCGTTAGGCAGAAACTTGACCCGCTGTCTATCCTGGCTATTTTTGGACCTGTCCTCCTCAACAGTATTCAGCAGATATTTCGGACCACGTTGTCCTGGAGTTGGAGGGGGAGAAGCATTGCTCTTGCTTCCAGCTCAGCCCATTAAAAGTCGGATGGTTTTATTGCTAGCAGGTTCGCAGCCCGTCCTGAGGATTGCAACAGCTTCAGTTTGCTGCCCAAAGAGACCACCTCTCGGGGAACCGGTTGCACCATTCGCAGGAACATAAAAGCCTGCTCCCCAGAGACCGTGAAAGGAGAAACTCTCCGCTCTCTGGCTTGATCAAAGAGGGCTGAAAAAGGAGTTTTTGTTTGGGTTTCCAGACCTGGTTTTGCCTGTGGGTGGAAGCTTGGAACAGGAGACGTTCCCACTCTTTCATTTTTTGAAGGACGAAAAAGGCCAGCCTGTTGGAGATCAGTAACCTTACACTTCGTTTTTCACGTGGGAAGGCATTCCGGAGAAATAGTTTCTTGTGCAAAGACCCAAAAGCTGCAGCGTAAGCGGAGGCAGAAGTCTGTCCTGAGCACAGGAACTTCTGCTCCAAGACGGCTTCCTTGTCCTGCTCCCATAAGCCCCACTCCGTGCCCCCCAACAAGCACATCCCTGCTCCCCCCTAAGTCATAATGTTCTGGGCAGTGGTCATGGTTTAAGCCTGTGGTTCCCAAATCTTTTTCGGGCCACTGTCTCCTTGGTTCCATAAACACATTCCCGGTGCCCCCTACTCTCTAAAGAGGGGAGTGGGAGGCGCTGTGGTCTAAACCACCGAGCCTCTTGGGCTTGCTGATCAGAAGGTTGGCAGTTCGAATCCCCGCGACTGGCTGGGCTTCCATCGCTCTGTCCCAGCTCCTGCCAACCTAGCAGTTCGAAAGCACACAAAAAGTGCAGGTAGATAAATAGGTACCGCTCTGGGAACCACTGGGTTAAGCCCTAACCTGGAGTGGAAGAACCTCAGGGCCAGGTGTGGCCCTCCAAACCTCTCTACGCGGCCCTTGGGACTCTCCTCAGGCCATGCCTTCTCAAGCTGTTGTTTAGTCGTGTCCAACTCTTCGTGACCCCCTGGACCAGAGCACGCCAGGCACTCCTGTCTTCCACCGCCTCCCGCAGTTTGGTCAAACTCATGCTGGTAGCTTTGAGAACACTGTCCAACCTTCTCGTCCTCTGTCGTCCCCTTCTCCTTGCGCCCTCCATCGTTCCCAACATCAGGGTCTTTTCCAGGGAGTCTTCTCTTCTCATGAGGTGGCCAAAGTCTTGGAGCCTCAGCTTCAGGATCTGTCCTTCCAGTGAGCACTCAGGGCTGATTTCCTTCAGAATGGAGAGGTTTGATCTTCTTGCAGTCCATGGGACTCTCAAGAGTCTCCTCCAGCACCTTCTCAAGCTACATGTCCCCAAGTCACCGCCTTCCCTTGCCAAACTCTGCACCCTCTTCAGGTGCTTT